AAATAGTATTTATCAATCAGCTTTTTTTAAAACATATTGGTCATAAAAAATAAAAATAACTGTTGAAATGGGTCAGGAGTCCAAAAAGGTTATGGCTATAATAGATACGAGTACACTATAATTATAATGTATGTATAGGTATAGYTGTCAGATGACTGTTATGGTAGGCATAGATAGATACATTTCATGTGCTTATATTATCATGTTTTTTCATATACCTATACCTTTGATTAATCTAAACAATGTCCACCAAATGAATAGCGAATAATGATTTAGCATTATTGTTATTATTTGTTTWAAGTATATTAGTTAATTTTTCAACTCTTTGTACTAATCTAATAAATATAAAATGTAATTAACCAAGTACCTATGGTTTGTATGGATTTTTCCGGAAATATCTGAAAGATGAATTAACAGTGATCACGTGGAGCTTATACCTACTTATAAATTATATAAGTATACATAGTATATAGCCATATAGGTACATTGTACACAGCATATAAAGGTAGATTTGTTTTAAAATGTATATTACTTCTTATGATATAATGTAGGCAATTCTGTTACCTATACCTATTTATTTAAAAAATGTTGAAAACACATTTGGATATAACAACTATAAACTTCCTTTATAAAATATTATATTATTGAGATTTAAATAAACTATTTCCTAGTTAAATATTCGAAAGTTCACTTCAAAAATAAAATATATATTATATAAAAGGTATATATGAATTAACAAACTGTATAATACGCTACTCCAAACTTCCTATGAGAAATATTATGGTACGCGTATACAAAGTTATGAATCTCAATTAAAAAGCTAAATGTACCTACACAAAATTCAAAATTAAATGTTCAGAAACCAATACTTTCTCATGCTCATACATCTCTCAAACTTATTCCTTTCATATACGATATACAGATCGCTTTCTTCCCAAAATATAACAGAAACAGCTATACAATTCGATTTCAAATGTTGTATAAGCACTATAAACACCTTTAAAATTAAAATAAACCGTTATTATTATGAAATTGCTRATTCCCACTTGGATCTGCATGTGCGTTCCTATAAAACCGTGTGCAGTTAAATATTTTCGACATTTTATGCACTGTGAAAAAAATATTTGCATATAATATATTTGTATATAATATATATATATATATATATAATACAGCTGCATTATTGCTATTATTGAAAACAAATTGAAAATTTTAAACGGTCAGTTGCGTACTTAAGCCTGCGATGTAGGTAGATTTAACACAGATATGTAAATCTATAATAATTCTATAAAATATCTCTTTTAGATTGGACTTCTTTATATAGATATGCACGGCATGTATATATGTTATTATCTATATACAACTGTGCCATATATAATATACTTAGATAGACGACCAAATACAATGGTATCAGTATAAATGTATATATTATTTAATACAATACCTATTAATCTATACTTGGTTTGTGTTATCCAAAAGTTATCGAATGCCTATATATATATTAAGGTACTAATACCTATATGTATTACAACAAAAGAGTAAAATACTTATGCRCCTATTCTATATAACGCTAAATAAATTGTATGTATACTTATATAGATAGTCAATAGGCTATAATAGTCATATTATACAATATATTATAGGTAGGTACGTTATTAATGCACACATGGCTATAGGGGATAACTGACCTTTGAGTGTTCTTCCGGTAATAGGGAAAACGGTCGCTGATGAACTTGTAGATGTCGGACAGCGGTAGCTTCTTCTCGGGAGCGCTCCATATGGCCATGGCCGTCAGCGATATGTAACTGTACGGCGGCTTTTGGTCGCCGTACGTCTCTCTGCACGGCCGCGGCATGCTTATCACGTGACCATCGTCGTCACCGTCACAGTGTTAAAATGCTGCAGGTTTCGATCGTCACTGCACTCGGAGTCGCATGTCGTATCAATCGCGCACGATGACGGTGGCGGCAGAAGCGGTGGCGACCGCCGCATAGTTCACTGATATATATATTTATATAATATAGGTATTATGTTTATGTATGTATATAGGTAACTATATAATATATATTTGATTTATTACAATAATTATTGTAGTTTCGATACGGGTCGGTTACGCACTCGTCGCGTGATATTATGTAGGCATGTTTTGTACCTATAGACTTACTATTTATTTAAGCTATGCCCGTGTGTGTACCTATGTATGTATACGAGTATAATACCTATATATTATACTATCATAGTTTTTATACATATATCACCGCAGTTGTACACTTTAATGTCTTATAGTGTAATATTAGTGCAATACGCAATATAATATTAAATGTCAACATTATTGCTTTCTTCAGTCGAATAATCTGCAGCGCACGCATGATTTAACAGCGCACACGATGTACCTATACATTATTATTTCAAACAACGGAATCGATATAATATAGGTATATAATATTAGGTTTTGTAGACATACGAAGATCAAATATTGTATTCCAAATTCSAATTATACAAACAAAATCAAAACGATATACCTACTACCCTTATCACGCATTAGTGCACCGGGAAATGACGCGTCACGAGCAGCGCGTAAATAAGGTAGAAATTGCGGTACGGAACGTCGCGGCGAAAATTCAGAATAGTCAMGCGGTGGCGGCGGTTACGACGGCGTGCGATCGACACTGACCGGTTTGTGCGGGTACCGAGCCAGCAACCGCCGCTGCCGCCGTCATCGTCTTTGTCGCCGTCCTAATCGACGCCCTCCCCACAGTGGGCGGTCTTCCGTTCAACTCCTCATTGGCCATCTACACGCCATTTTGTAGTGCGACGTACACGCCCACATCTTGCATACTGAGCGAGAGGAAACCGCCGTCGCGTCGGATTTATATATTATGGTTTCGCCAAATTCGAATATTTATTGCACTCATATACCAAAATATAGAATGATATAATAMGATGATKATTTAGGTCGCGTATAGATAATATTTTTTTATCAACTTMTTTCATATGAGGAATATTATATTAATAGATACTTATAGAACGGTCGAACCCWTGGATGGTTGGTGTTTAATAATTCTCCCTGGCGAAAATCGTCGATGAATATTTTTGGTTGAATATTTCCAATGATGCATATAATAATAAAATATATTATCAGTATGTATTGAGATATTAACGCGGTGAATGAAGATAATAGCATATATGAGTAGAGATAATTCGCTTTCAAAGTCGTTATAATAGTATTATACTATTATACAACATCCCTGCACCAATCAATAGGTATAGTAGGTACCTATATAAATGTATATTCTAATATATTACAGAATCAAATTAATTTAATATGCTAGATTATATATATATATAATATAAGATAAAAATCAGTTTATGTTCAGTTTAAATGCAGTTTTTAWGATTAGAAACCAGATTATATCTTTGATTTGCCATTTTGCCATTTTGCAAGGAAACGCGTAGAATATATATAAGTATAAATTATAAACTTTAATTTTTCTAATAACTACAATTAACTATAATTAGGAACCTATTAGGTATACTGCAGTAGATTTACTGCTCCTATATATTATATAGGTACATACAGGTACGCACATAATAGAAATTTAGAAGTTGATTTAACTTTTGCTATTATATTCATTATATATTTAACTTTAGTGGCATATACATTTGTTTTAACTCCTTTGGGCTTTGGCATATATATATATTGTTTTAATTAAATTAATGTGAATCCAAAACGTAATTTAAAATTATTATTTTTATATGTGAATTTAACTTATTTGATTGAGTGTTATCTGACTTGATTAAATGTGACATCAAATTTTAATATGATTGTATATTATTACATCAGTCATGGGCTTAATTTAAATATAAGTTTTTTGCAGGGGCGTATAGCGTGCATGTAATCACTGTAAGCACTTGACTGCTTACACTTGAAAAAAAGRAAAAATAGGTTAATATATTAATGTTAATATAATAACAAATTTAAATTTAATCTTTGACTAATTTTTTTTTAAATTTCAGAAATAATAAATAATATTACATACAATGTCATAGAGGGGGGGGGGCTCGTATATACAATTTGTTGTATACAATTTGTAAGCTCTTACCTATATGGCTATATGATTTTGCATACACCACAATATATACCTATCGGTTCCAAACATTTTATTATTATTTTTATTTCTGATAAGGCGATAATAATCGGCAATAAATTATTTTCTTGTTATTATAGTATGTTATAGAATATAGGTATATAGATCTATAATTATATACACTTAATTAATTATTGGAAATGGAAATGGAGCTGCTTTCATTATTTAAATAAAATTATAACTGTACATAAATTGTTAAAAGTTATAAAATTAAATTAAAATGAATTATATATATTTTTTACCAATTAAATGTAGTGTTGACTGTAAAATTACTAATAAATTTCCAATACATAAGTTTTTCTGTTTAAATTTTCTCAAAACGCACTCTACGCCACTGATTTTTGATAACTGCTTGAGATGGTAAATTCAAGATAATTTTATTCTGCAGTTTCAAACTATAGTGAAACTGAAATAACAGCATTATTTTGGTTAATAATTACTTATCATTATTATAAATACATTTGAGGAGATTCCCGCCATACATTATTCAATACTATGAAAATAAATCCAGTGGAGCGCTGATTTAATTTCATAGATCATCAACTCGAAACATTTGCACGTTAAAGCAAATATACCTATAGTTTTAAAATAAACACTATACAAACAACTTTCGGTTTCCGCCATTTATAGAATTTCAGCATTTGGCATTTACGTTTTGCACCTACAATAGTGCAATGTTCTAATGCCATTTCTATTTTCCATCATATAATAATATAATATTATTCATTGCGATTTTTATAAAGTAATCTTTATTAATAYTATACAGTATATTAATACACTGTAGTAATTATACTTCATAATATGAACATATTGTATGTATAAAGTTATATGATGGCTGAACCAAGTATGAACTTCAACTGAATTGATATTGRATTTTCTCAAGTAATTTTACTTTAAACTATAKTTGTACATAAACTATCCTTGCGYAATATAAATTATTGGGCTAAAATCAATAGTCACATAATGTTCTAGAAATCGAAAACGACAACTAAAGGGATACCTGCTACCAACTGTTACATTAAATAAAACCAAAATACATTAGGTATAGGTATTAGGATTTTTTCGTTTAAAATAATTCATCAATTTGACACAAGTTACATTAAAAACTAAAAAGTATATATAGATTAAATGACTAGGTGTGGGTACATGAACACCCTTACCTAATTATTAAAATTTTTTGTCTATTAATCCTGTCCTGCGCATTTTTCTTCCTAAAACATTTTTTTTAGTGGTATATTATTCAGAGAATCTACTTTTTACCAATCTGCAGGGTTGAAGGTTCCAACCAAACCTGTCGAAAACGCGAAAAYTTGCAAGTAATTTTGAAGTTGAAAAATTATAAAATTTTGTTTGTTTATAACTAAGGATTAAAAATATAACACTAAATTTTCAGTAAGTTTTCCTTCRAGCAGCTATAGAGAAAACTCGAAGCATATCATTAAAGGAAAAATGTTAGTGCGTTTGAATTTTAAATTTTTACGAAATAGCGTATATAACTACGATAACGATTTTAATTCTTATATTATTTTTTTGAAGTGTCGATAACATTTTTTTGGCTTATCAAAATTCTTGAAAATTTAATACAAAGTTCTTCATAAGCTATTCTTATAGTGATTAAAAAATTATAAGAATACGTCATAAGCACAATTTTTTTTATTGGCATTTGAAGTTCAAATATTGACAAAAATTCGTCAAAACCATGAATATTTGCAACTTATTTTATAGTTCAAAATTTATAAAATTGTTTGTATTTATATCTAATAGGTTAAAAAATTCAACACTAATAGTTTTCCATTAGTTTTTCTTCAAATAGC